GGGGGCATGAGGGGCTGCAGGCGACGTGAAGACAGCCTGTTGGTAGCCATTGGTGACACCCGCACCATGAAGGCCGGTGCAGAATAGCCCTGTGGTCTCAGGCTCACTCACTGCTGGGAGAAGAGAGAGGGTCTCAGAGCTCCTCATCAGAGTGGCGTTCTTGGGTCACTCGAGGCTCACGCGACAAGGTCTTGCCAGCAGGGAAGGGAGAGGCCAGTTAAGCCATGCCGATGGCGTGCTTCTGCTTCTGCTGCTGCCAAGCCAGTGGATCCGCTATATTTGGAAGCGTGATTAAAGTCCTCAGTACCAGACTCCTGGGTGGTTTCAGTTATTTTCAGGTTGAGCGCCATGGTCCTCGACGGACGGCCTTACAGATGCGGGAGGCTGAGACTCAGAGAAGATGAGGTCGTTCCCAGGCATTGCCCTTGCCCTTGGCCGTGAGCACGGGAGGCTTTTTCTTTAGAAGAAGATGGTCCTGAAGTATAGGAAAAGGTGCTTAGGCTGTCCCTCCTCCTGCCTTCCCCCACTTAATGTTTTCTGCTTTTCATCGCAAAATGACTAGTTGCTTTTATTGCTGAAAAGGTTGGCCGGAGCCCAGCAGGTCGAGGCTGCGGTGGCCGGGAGCAGCCACTGCACTCCAGTCTGGGCGACAGAGTAAGACTCCAACTCAAAAAAAAAAAAAAGGTTTTATATATTTTTACTGGCTCTCTTTTATTCTCAGATGACTGACACTGTATTTCTTACTGTCTTTTAGAAGATTTGTTAGGTACGTAGATTACACATTGTATCAGTCTGTCTTGCACTGCTGTAAGGAACTACTTGAGGCTGGGCATGGTGGCACAAGCCTGTAATTCCAGCATTTTGGGAGGCTGAGGTGAGGGGATTGCCTGAGTCCAGGGGTTTGAGACCAGCCTGGGCAAGTTGGTGAGACTTCTTCTCTTCAATAAATCAAAAAATTAGGCAGACTTGGTAGCACGTGCTTGTAGTTCTGGGTGCTTGGAAGGCTGAGACGGAAGGATCGCTGGAGCCCAGCAGGTCAGAAAAAGAGGTTCGTTTTGACTCACAGCTCAGCTGGGCTTCTGGTGAGGCCTCAGGAAGCTTATGATCATGGCAGAAGGCAGAGGAGGAGCAGACGTGTCACATGGCAAGAGTGACTCAAGAGAACTGAAGGAGGTGCCAGGCTCTGTAAACAACCAGCTTGCATGTGAGCTGACAGAGCAAGGACTCACTCATTACTGCAAGAACGGCACCAAGCCACTCCTGGGGGATCCGACCCTGACTGAACACCCCAAGCCCTGGGCCACAGACCGCTACCAGTCCGTGGCCTGTTAAGGCTGCACAATAGAGGTGAGTGGCAGGCAAGTGAGCAAGGCTTCATCTGTATTTACAGCCGCTCCCCATTGCTCGCGTTACCGCCTGAGCTCCACCTTCTGTCAGATCAGCAGCACCATTAGATTCTCATAGGAGCTCGAACCCTGATTTGAACTGCACACGCAAGGGATCTAGGTTGCATGCTCCTTATGATAGTCTAATGCCTGTTGATCTGAGGTGAGCTGGGGCAGTGATAAATGCTGGGGAGCAGCTGCAAATACAGATGAACCTTAGCAGTGAGATTTGATTGCACAGAGACCATGATCAGTTGCTTGCAGACTTGCATCAAAACCCTGTCAGTGAGTGGCAAGTGAGAGGGTGGACTTTAGTTGTACAGCTGCATCTGGTGGCAAGCTTTGAGTCAAAATCTGACACTTATTTTAGCCCATGCGTGGCCTGCCCATTATTTGGTTTACTACTTTCATCCGTGCCTCTTTCCTGCACTGCACACGTGTCTCAGTCACAGTTTTGGTAAGCCCACAAGCTAACCCGAGCCAAAAAATGCAAAAAAGCAAATGTCACTGAAGAGCTTCTTTGAAAAGAGATAAAGACCCAATGACGAGACAGCAGAAGACTAAGTCTGCCAACACAAAGCTGCATCTAAAAGAAAATACTGAGAGTCCTACATAAATTATGGGTTCATTGCAACAGGTGATTTCATATTCTCCAAGCCTGCTTTGTATACTATGTGGCAACTGGCTATCCAGTGAAGCCATGAAACCTTTAAAACTGCTTCATCGCATGGAGACCAAGCACCCTGCATTAAAAGACAAGCCTTTGGCCAGGCTCGGTGGCTCAACCTGTAATTCCGTGCTTAGGTGGCCGAGGTGAATGAATTGCCTGAGCCCATGGTTTCGAGACCCGCCTGGGCAACTTGGCGAGACCTCATCTCTACAATAAATAAATAAAAAAAAATTAGCCGGGCGTGGTAGCACGCGCCTGTAGTTCCAGCTACTTGGAAGGCTGAGGTCGAAGGATTGCTGGAGCCCAGCAGGTCGAGGCTGCGGTGGCCAGGAGCGGCCACTGCACTCCAGTCTGGGCGACAGAGTGAGACTCCAACTCAAAAAAAAAAAAAAAGACAAGTCTTTGGAGTTTTTCAAAAGAAAAAAAAATAATCAGGAAGAACAGAAGCAATTATTGGAGGCCATTACTTCGTCAAATGTGTCTGCACTGAGAACATCATTCTTTTTTTTTTTTTTTTTTTAAGTTGGAGTCTCTCTCTGTCGCCCAGGCTGGAGTGCAGTGGCCACCATAGCGTCACCATAGCGTCCTGGCCACCATAGCGTCAACCTTTTGGGCTCAGGTGATCCTTCCACCTCAGCCTTCCAAGTAGCTGAAACTACAGGCACGTGTGACCATGCCCAGCTAATTTTTTGATTTATTGTAGAGACAAGGTCTCACCATGTTGCCCATGTAGGTCTCTAACCTGTGGGTCCAGGCAATCCTCTCGTCCCGGCCTCCCAAAGTGTTGGGATTGTAGACTTGAGCCACCATGCCCGGCCAAGAACATCATTCGTAATGGCTAACTCCATTGCTGAAGCTAAGAAGCCCTTTATTCTTGGTGAAGAGTTGTTCCTGTCTGCTGCTAAGGACATTTGTCATGAACTTTTGGAGAGGCTGCAGTTCCAAAGGTAGCACGTGTTCCTCTTTCGGCTAGTACCCTAACTAGACAGATTGATGATATAGCAAAGGATATTGAAGCACAATGTTAGGATTAATGAGTCATCGTGGAACGCAATCCAGGTTGACGAATCTACTGATGTTGATAATAAGGCAACAATGCTTGTTTTTGTGCGATGTATTTTTCAGGAGGATGTGCCTGAGGGTATGTTATGTGCACTTTTGTTGCCAGCCAATACCACACAGCTGCAGAACCATTCAAGTCTTTGAATGATTACATATCAGGAAAACTGAATTGGTCATTTTGTATTGGTATATGCATGGACAGAGTGGCTGCCATGACTGGATGACTTTCTGGTTTTTACTACGCAGGTCAAAGAGGTTGCTTCTGAAATGTGAGTCTGTGCATTGTGCCATCCATAGGGGAATGCTGGCTAGCCGAAAAATGGCACCTGAACTTAATGTTTTGCGGTCTGTGATTAAACTTACCATCCCCATCAAAGTATATGCCCTTAACTCACGTCTGTTTGTGTGAGGAGATAGATGCAGAGCACATTTGTTTTCTCTTATACACAGAAGTGAGATTGCTTTCTAAAGGTAGAATTTACCTGGTAGAGCACTGGCCAGAGTTTTTGAGTTACAAGAGCCACTCAAGAAATTTCTTTTAGAAAAACAGTCACCACTGGCCGCACATTTTAGTGACACAGAATAGGTTGCAAAACTTGCTTACTAGTGTGACATCTTCAACCTGCTTAATGAACTCTGTCTGTCACTTCAGAGGAGAATGACAGCTATGTTCAAGTCACCAGATAAACTGACTACATTCAAAGCCAACCGGAATTTTGGGCGCAGTGAGTAAACATTAGGATTTTTGACGTGTTTCAAACTTGAGCGGAGATTTTGAGAGACTGCGTCAGGGCCTTCTTTCTCCCAACTGGTGCATGATCGCCTCGCTCATCTTTCAGAAGAGCTTGAACGTTAACTTTCCAGCCACAAAAGACCCCCAAACTGGGGAGGAATGGATCTGTGATTCATTTGTGCATAGGTCAGGTGAATTGACTTTGTCCCTGATAGAATAAGAACAACTGCTTGAGCTCGCAAATGACAGTGGCCTTAATGATACATCTGAGACGACTTCAGATCTCCATGCGTTCTGGATTAAAGTCAAGGTGGAGTATCCCAAGATTGCCACAAAAGCACTGTAAAGCCTACTTCCATTTCCAACATCCTGTCTTTGTGAAGCAGGGTTTTCTGCAGCGACAGCCACCCAAATGAGATTATGGAGCAGACGACATAAGCAACAAACACACTTTGGGTATCACTGTCTCCCATCACCCCCAGATGAGACCGTCTAGTTGCCCAAAAAAGCTCAGGGCTTCCACTGATTCTGCATTATGGTGAATTGTATAATTATTTCTTTATATATTACAATGTAATAATAGAAATAAAGTGTACAATAAATGTTATGTGCTTGAATCATCCAGAAACCATTCTCCTCCACATACCCCGCCCCACCCCCCCGTCTGTGGAAAAATTGTCTTCCACAAAACTGGTCCCTGATGCCCAAAAGTTTGGCGATCTCTGGTTTAAAGCAAAGTGGGGAGGGAATGCGTAAATCTTTGTGCACTCAAGATAGTTTGTACATATGGGATGGATACATAGCTTTTATGTCTGTGGTACCTTGGAATATGTTCGTATGCACAGTAAAATCTCTGTAATTAAAAAGATTCTAGAGTAAAATTTGCTTCTTCTGTAGTTTTTGTTATTTTGTTAGTGAAAAGGAAAGAACTTTTTTCCAGAGACTACCAAAGCAGATTTTTCCCCCATTTGAGGGCCTCCAAATACTAATATTGCACATTTCTTTCTCTGGAAGGAAACTTCAGGATATGGCAAGTGTGAGGTGAGAGTAGCATCTTAAGACGAAGACACTGCCTTGCCACATTTTATCTCTTGAATTTGTTCTTTGGTCATGTAATTTTTTCTTAATCTTTTCTTTCTTTTCTCTGTAGTCAGAAAATGGGTAAGAAGAGTCGAGTGAAAACTCAGAAATCAGGCACTGGTGCTACAGCAACTGTGTCACCAAAAGAAATCTTGAACCTGACCAGTGAACTGTTGCAGAGTAAGTCTCCTGGCTGCCCTCCCCCTCCAGTGGTGGGTGTGCCTTTCACTCTGTGCAGCTCCATGCTGCTCCATGCTGCGTGCTAGGCCCACCGGGAGGGGGAAGCCTAGACTGTGCGAGCTTGCGTTAGGTCCCAGCGCATCAGCCTTGTGACCCCGGTGAGCTACACAACTTTCCGAATGTGCAGTCTGCATCTGTGTGGATGGAGGTGCTGGTGCTTGTGGATCCACGTAGCTGTTGAAGAAACGTGGATGAAATAGCACATGCCGAGCTTCTGTAGCAAAGCCCACAGGACGGGTCCTCCCTGGGGACCAGTGGGCAGCTGTAAGCCCTACTGTTTTTTTGTAATGTGGTCTCCGACAAATGACTGAACCCCTCGGAACTGAAGCTCAGTGTTCTCATCGGTAGACGCAGCTGGTAACTGTCTCGGGGCGTGATGAAGTGCACGTGAACTCTGACACGTGCAGGTGCCCAGTGGCTGTGAGCCCCGCATGCCTCTTACAAGCCGACATTCAGAGCTCTGCTCTGTGGGAATGCCTCACCTCTGTTTCCTGTGATTCAGTTCGTAGTGTTTCCAGTTTTTACATGTTGAAGTATGAGAGTTCTTGCTTCAAGGAAATGAAATAATGTCAGTTAGGTGCCTATATTGTTTTAGTTAGTATAATTTGATAACTTTTAAAATCACCGCTATGAATGCTGCAGATTTAGCTGTGACCTTTGCCCCTTATCTTTAGATTAATTGATAGGCTAAATAAAACTTAGACTTTCTCTCCCAAACATAAAGCAGGCAGCAGCCAGGTCGGGCTCAGGACCCTCCCAAGCACTCTCCTAGAGCCCGTGGGTCCCCCAGAGCACAGCTGTCCTCACCACCCCTTGGCTGTCTCCCCTTCTAACCTGTGGGCAGCTTGGGAACAGGCTCGTGTCTCCTTCACCTTTGTGTTCCAGGACCACTGACTGGCCCTTATTGCTGGAAAATGAAGTGAGGCTGGTTAACCTTAATTGTTACGAGTCAGCATATCACTAGTTACTGTCGGTTACTTGCCACGTGCACTCTTTTCTTTAGGGAGGAAAGGGGCCGAGAGGTTAGCAGGAGCACGGAAGAGGCTCTCTTTAAGGCATCGTGATTGTGTGAGAAAGGAGGAGCTGTCCACAGGCAGGTGCCGGCTTGCGCCTTCCACACCTGCGGCCCAGTCTTGATGCTGGTCTTTTGGTTCTGGCCCTGCAGTAGAATCCTCACTTCTTTTTTAGCAGTGGCTGTGCCGTCTCGTTTTGTGACTCCCCCAGAATGCTAAATATAGAGCCGTACACATGGATGTGAGATGTTTGTCGACTGATTGTCCTTATGTCCAATTTAACTGGTTCCCTTAGAGAGCTAGTGTTACAGGATTTAACTAGAAAGAAATGTTGTCTTTTAAATTACCTTTTCTTTGCCATCTAGAGAGTTTTGGGGAACTATTTTGCATTTTAGCTTAGCATTTTAGATCTTCCTGTTTATAAGTGTATCCTGAGGAAAAATTAGCTGAGCAGCAAAATAAGATGGGTGTGAACTAGGTGCTCACAAGGACTGGGTCATGGTTTAGTGAAGGGCATTTGTATGGTTTCAGAGGGTTTATATGCTTGGAAGAGTATACCTGCTTCATCCTTCTCACATTTATGATGATGTTTAATATCTCTGACCTTTAAACCGACCAGAGCAGCAAAAGCAAAGTCCAGAGCTTCTGCCTTCTGCAGACGGTAGGCCAAGTTATGGAGAGAAGCTTCTCAGCGCCATGGCTCTTGTGTTTCAGAATGCAGCAGTCCTGCGCCTGGTCCTGGGAAGGAGTGGGAAGAGTATGTGCAGATCCGGTCCCTAGTTGAGAAAATACGGAAAAAGCAAAAAGGTAAGACTGTTAAAATGATCATATTTTAATAATGTTACGTAGAAACTTGGCCAAGTCAGAAAGGGGTTGAGCACAGCAAAGGTCTCAGCATCACTGATGCCAATCTGAAAGATCATTTTAGAGGGCTCCCAGATGGGGACAGCGGTTGCATGGGACAACTATCGGGATTGCTCCCTTTCTGAGATGCCATAACCTGCTTGGGAAAGGTAAAAATGTTGAGCTGTAAGGGAAAAGAGTTTTGTGTCTGGGGGCTAAAATGATACAACTTTAACTTATCTATTTGTGTTTTATGAAATATACTTTAAAATATTTTTTATATTGTATTTCCTTTTGGGTTTCAGGACAGTGCATAATACTGTATATGGTCAGCACACAAATACATGCTGACTGATTAATGTATTATCAAGTGTTTATGAGTAGCTCAAACACATCTCAATTAAATAAGAGGTGTAGTTATATTCCTTAAGCTGTGTTTTTACAGAGTGCATTCAGTAGCCATCTTAATGATTCTCATCCAGGCTGGCGATGGGCCTAAGTGTCAGTGTGAAAAAGCTTGCTCAGTATACCTATTACTTGTGCTCTGTAAAGCACAAAAAGTAGAGATTGTCATGCAGGGCATGTGGAAAGCAGAAGGAGAAAGCATCATAAGAAGCATGCATTTGAAAGGGTGAGGAACACCGTTCGAGATGCCCTTTCTGATTGTCAACAAGGGGCATGAGAAGAGGGTTTTTATTTGCTGTTTTAAGTTGTGGTTTTATTGCTCTACCATACACTTCCATAAACATGCAGTTTTTGACTTAGATGGTCTCAAACTCCAAAATGGTGAACAGGTTCCTTTACAATGTGCTTGTTTATTTGCACAAAATTGTAAACTGCACTAATTCTGTCTCACCAAGTAGGTAGCAGAAATTTTTTTGGATAGCCTGAGTTTCTGTTCTGAGTAGATACTATTTACTACAACTGACTCTAAAATTGGAGCATTCACTAGTTCTCAATGAGTGAAGAGTAAATTCTGTCTTAGTTCATTTTTTCATCGCTTAGCAGGTATCTTTGCATATCTAGCATGACCTCTTCACAAATTCAGTTGACTGTTAGTTATACTGTGATGAGGTGGCCACAGGCACCTGAGCTAGGTGCCACACCCGGTTCCTCATAATACATTTTCTGCTTATCTCCTTTTATTCATCAAAATATCGTGCTTTTTCTCCATGCATGTCTTTTTATTTTTTTGAATATTTCAGACACGCTGAAAAGTCTAGAAAGTAATATAACATTTACCCAAGAATCTACTTCCCCAGATTGCGCATGTGTCAAAGTTGTGTGGTCCAGGTTCTCCTTTCTTCTTTCCCACCTGCTGGTCAACTTCCTTTTTCTTCCTTCAGTTCTTTGTTTTGTTTTTCTATTTGTTTTAAGAACTAAAACATTACAGATACAGCTGAAGCCCCGTGCTTCCATCCTATTCCATTTTTACCATTCATCTTTACCACGAGTGTTTTTCTACTTCATGTATGACCCCATACAAACATAGGGCTGTAGATGGCATTTTTAAAATGTACATAAAGGGTGTCCTACTCCTTGACTGAAAGAACCACAGTGTTACATTTTGTATTTACTTATGTGGATACATACAGATTTCACTCATTTAAATTGTCCTGCAGTATTCAGTTTTAGAACTCTGTAGTTTTATGCTTTTATAATAGTAACTATATATCTATATTTGTGAATAGTATCAGTAAACATTTCACTGTAACTGACAGTTTAGGATTTTAATTCACCTTTCCTGTCACTAGTTGAGGTACATACTGTGACTGTTTGGTGCGTCGTTTTATTAATTTCGGGATTGACATGTTAAGACTACTTCCAGTGCTAGTTATAGTCTGTTTTTATTTTCTGAGCGATATATGAATGGTATATGTCCTAAAAGTAGCTCTTGTTTTCTAAAATGCGGACTAATATAGGTCTCTCCGTTACTTTTGATGGAAAAAGAGAAGATTACTTTCCTGATCTAATGAAGTGGGCCTCTGAAAACGGGGCTTCTGTCGAGGGTTTTGAAATGGTTAACTTCAAAGAAGAGGGCTTTGGTTTGAGAGCAACCCGAGATATCAAGGTGAGTTTGTTCAACATTGGTCTGAGGGGTCTGCCTGTGTTTGGACTGTGGTGTGGGACCTTGGGCGCAGGATGTGGATCCAGGTTCATGGGCTGATTCTGAGCTGGTGGGCAGATAGCCCCGAAGGACCTCAGGCCTGTGTTCTGGGCAGCCCCTCCCAGCTCATTCTCATGGGGGGCCACGCTGTCAACTAGCGACATGTGACATGTTCACACTTCTGAGCCTCTGTGAGGAGGCCACAGCACATACCTCCCAGGATTCTGAGACTTAACTAAAGGAAAAATTGTGAACTTGTGGTCTGGAGGGAGAGCACACACGATCTTGAGATGGATGGAGCTGGGTGGTGGAGGATAGATGGGGGAAGGTGCTTGCCGGGTCTGGCTGGAGAACTGTGTGGCTCGCAGTGCTATGAACTCTCTGAAACAGCACCAGAGGCAGCAGGAAAGAATAGACAGCCAGGCAGGGAGAACATGCTTTTCCACCACTTGGTTCTTCCTCCACGTGAAGGGAGCGGCAATAACCTCCTTCCTGGCCTGTCTTCACCCCTCGCTCTTGCCCTTCTCAAGAGGGGGCATAACTTGATCTGCCTTCTGAGTCTAGGAGAGCTACCTGGGCGTGGCTCTTTCTCAGTGGGAGCTGTTCACTCATGTGCATTTACCCCACACTGCTCTCCCTACCCTGTGAGCCTTCCAGGGCAGCCCCACACGTGGGGAGGCCTGTGGGGATCCATTTCTGCCTGTAACTAGGTGGGGGAGTCTGTCTAATCTGGGATTCAGTAGGTGATATTTTGGGTGACCATCTGTTGTCTTCTCGTCTCTCTCAGTTGGTTCAGAACTTGGGCGGAGGAAAGGGTGTTACTTGTTGGGCCCCCTCAAACCTCCTGCAACATTTTTGGTCAAGTGGTGGGTAACCTTTCATTGATATATTGATACACCACATACTGGTTTATTAGACACCTGTGAAATATCTAGTATGTGAATGGTACCTTGCTTGGTATTACCCCGGTCTTCCAAAAACCAGTCTCTTTCCTCATGATGCTTGTAATCTAGATAGTAAGGGACAAGACACCAACAATTCAAATAGACGGTGGTGAAGGCAAGATGTCACATGTTCTGTTGTACCAGACGCACAGCACCTTTCGTGTGGATACTGCCCAGAATAGCTTAGCTGTGGACTGTCTTCACTTAAACAGCAGACATTTATTTCTCACTTTTCTGGTGGCTGAAAAGTACAGGACATAGTCCGCTTTGGCAAGGGCAGACAGCCACCCTCTTGCCGTATCTTCCCATGTCAGAGAGCCAAGTGCTTGTTTTAAGCAGGATAGAGACACAGAACATACCAAAAAGAGGCATCTCATATCAAAAGCACTACTTTAAAAAGAAAACAACAAAAAAAAACCAAAGTGTACTCTGTATTATGTTGCCAAAAAATGAGATAATGCTTTTGAAAACAATTAGTAAACCAAAGTACAGCTTATGAGCTTATGATTTTGCTGGTAACTGTTGTGCTTCAAAGGCAAGTGTGTAGAGGAAGGAATGTGACTCTGGTTTCAGAAACTCAATATAGTAACAATTCACAAAGACAGATTAGGGCTTTTGTTGGAGGCAGAGATTTTGGTTTGCTTTTAGAGCTTAAAAATATAAGTAGAGTAAAGAATAAACATTTTTGTGCTCTACTCCAAATGTTATATTTACTTTGTTGAAAATTCCTTTTCTGATCATTTGCCTTCTCAGTATATGTAGTTAGTTCTTCTACTGAAAGCAAGATTTTAACTATGCTTCTGCTCATTTATTTATAACATAAATGCTTATATCTTAAAATATATTTGATAATTAGAAATGAAGTGCTGATATGCAACCTTAAATTGTATTTCGTGTGTGATTGGATTTATGATCGTAGATACAGTTCGATTGAAGATCATAGCATGTTTTGATATAATTCTACCATTTTCTTTTTTTTTTCCCCTAGGCAGAAGAATTATTTTTATGGGTTCCTCGGAAATTACTAATGACTGTTGAATCGGCTAAAAATTCAGTGTTGGGTGAGAATAATTTCTGACTGTTCAATCAAGGCAGAGTGCAAATGACAAACATATAAAATTCAGTTTTCTGGTGCTAATGACCATATTTGGTTGTTTTGAAATATTCCCTCACATACTCATTGAGTGTTTTTAATTTAATGTCAAAAGAAACATGCTTATGACTACATGTTATAGATTTCTTAGTTTTTTCTGAGTTTAATCTGTATCTTGAATGAATATCTTTTAAAGAACTTTGTGGAACTTAATGCTTTTAACTTCTGGGTTAATCCAGGGCCCTTATATTCTCAAGACCGAATTCTTCAGGCCATGGGAAACATCGCACTGGCCTTCCATCTGCTGTGTGAGCGAGCCAGCCCCAGCTCCTTCTGGCAGCCCTATATTCAGACGCTCCCCAGTGAGTACGACACCCCTCTCTACTTCGAAGAGGACGAGGTTCGGTATCTTCAGGCAACACAAGCCATTCACGATGTTTTCAGCCAGTATAAAAACACAGCTCGGCAGTACGCCTATTTCTACAAAGTCATCCAGGTGAGCACTGTTTGCACCTCAGTCTGTGTTTCAAAGGAAGAGGAACTGATTACGTCAGTGTTCCATTTAACATCTTGTTAAGGGTACTTAAGCATTTTACTTTTTAAATCAAAAGGTATTCAAGTACATTTCATTGTTTCCATTTTTGTAGAAATAATCACTGAAATACGCCTATATATCATCGGTGTCCAGTGTTAACACAAACAGCAGTTGTTCCTGAGCTATGGAAATCTCTAAGTTTTTTTGAAATTAAACGATTACAACAAAATTTTGAAAGCTCTAAAATGTATCTAATACAGAAAGTTACTCTGTGTATAAATTTTCCAGGAAAATTAAAGTCACTTTATGTTTTTCTATGTATGTTCGTAAATAATTGAAAATTAATTTAGTAAATTATAATGTGTCTTATTTATGCTTTTCAAAGTGGACTATATATTGTATTACTTTCACTTAGTTTCAAGTAAAAAAATCTCATCTGGAAATCTCTATCGGCTGTGAGCATTTGAATTGCACTTGATGACACCTTTCTGTATTTTGGTGGTTGGCCCCCATTATCTTTCATGTTCAGTTGAACCGCAGGTAGGAGCTTTAGGGCCAGTGCCACAGCCTCCTCCAGAGCTGGGGGTGGGGGGGTGTCTCTTCCTGCCTCTCCCCCTTCTCGGTTGCTCAGGAGTCAGCCCCTGGCCACTGCTCTTGGTACCTGGCAAGTGGGAAAGCGAGCCGTCTGCCCCTTCCCTTTGGGCAGTCTGCCAGCCTGAATTAGGCTTGATTTAGTTGTTCCTTAAATGGTCTGTCCCTGCTATGTTTTATGTGCAAGAAGTGGTGAACTCATTTCATTGCTGCAGGTAATACCATTTTCCATTCATTATTTTCACTTTGTAGCACGCTAACTGCGCCAGAATACTACACTGAAGGTTACGTCTTCCCCCACCAAATACTTCAAATATGTAAAAGTTATGTATGACTTGTCCTCAAGTAAAAATGATTGTTTTTTGTTTTTCTAAACCTTAAACTTTAGGACATCATTAAGAATGATTGTACAGTATGTGTGTAAGTTATATTTCCGGTTTGCTTGATTTAAAAACTGTTGATGAGACAAATCAAAACTTTGTGTCTTCACGCAGTGTGCACCTCCAGTCTTGCACACTAAGGTTTGGTGTGGCTCCTCATGACCTAGGAGGGTTGTGCTTTTGTTTGTACTTTTTAGCCAGGTGTCTTTCATGACTTTGGGTAAAGCTGACTTCAGTAGGTTTAAGTCCTTGTCATTTTCTGTCATTGGACAGTGGATTGCAAACTGACCCTCTTCACCCGTGTGCCTCTCGAATCGGGGCCGCCGTTAGTGAGCAAGTGCTGGGGGCCTGCCCTGAGAAGACGTGGCTCTGCTGTCAGGCTGGAGATTCTGGATCAGTGGCAGGTCTTCCGCTAACGGCTTGGTGTGGACGACCTTGGGATGTCTCATTGTGCTTTCTTGTCTGTTTTGTTCAGTGCTAGCTGAGTTACTGCTTCAAAATTCGATGAGTTTTCAATGACAGTGAGTCACTGAAATACTCCTCATACAGATGGAGCCACTTCATGTCAACTTAAGAGCCGGGTCTCTTCATCGTCCCTTGAAGTAAACCCCCTTAGATAACTGAATTATACCAGTCTCTGCAGTAATTGGGGGTTGTTGTGAACTTCTAAGGAATTAGAGAATACTCCAAAAGTACACTTTTTTTTTTTTTTTTTTAGAAAGCAGAATTTATTGAGAGGAGAAAAACTCCCACAATGGGAGGGGACCCGAGGGGGTTGCCCCAAAAGTAAACTCTTAATTCGCAAGTTTGTTTCCAAGAGTAATAAAATTCCTACATGACTGATAGGAAGTTGTGTATAATTTATAATGAATGCACATATCTTCTTTTGAAAAACAACAACGTTCTTTAAGCACTAATGGATCTATCTTTTTTTATACATTTTCCTTTTTATTGAAAAATTTAATCAGTGTAAAACGTGGCATATACACATGTGAAGTTGCCAAGTAATCAAATGTCTGCACAATTAAGCCAGTCTGAGTATTTGGGGGGAAAAAAGTATCATGGTTTAGAAATCAAACTGGATAAAAAAGTATCAGACCGAGGGGAGAGCAAAATGTGTTTGTGGTCACATATGTAAGTTCTTTCACTTTATAGCAATGAGTCTTATTTGGGGCCTTTAGAGGGCATGTGGCAATATTTGGCAACATTTCTGACTGTTAAACCAGAGTGTGGGGTGCTCCTAGGATCTAGGCTGGGCTGCTGCTAAACTGATGTACAAAGCAGCCCCCACAGCAAGGCATTTTCCAGCCCATGCTGTCGGTAGTGCTGAGGTTGAGAAACTCTGCTTTGTATTTATATACAGAACAAAGCACTTCCAATAAGCACTGCCTAACATCAAAATCAGTCCTTTTCCTCTAATGATTGGTAGCCTGGGGCCTGACTGATACTGGTTGTGAGTTACTTTACCTGTTTTTTCAGAAAATCTTCTCGTTAGCAGATTCCAGACCCCTCCCTGGCTCTAGCTGCATGTTTTGTTGAGGAGAGTGTATTTTAGAGCACTTCTTTGCTTACTGGCATTAAACACACATCCCTTCTTTTCAAGAACCTACACATATAAGGCAGGCGCAGGAATGTTTGGCTTATTAAGAATATTCATACAGGAAAACAAAGACAAAGCTTGTAAACATAAGATTCAAGTTTCTCTTTATAAAATCATGCAGGGAGTTGAGTCGAGATCCTTGGAACATTGCATGTTGAAAGTGAATATAGTGGTGGGGTGTAGTCACTTTTTCCACATTAGCTGATCAGGAAGCAGCGTTTGTATGATGGAGGGAGAGAGCCCTGGCCCCTCAGCTGGGTGGTCCTGACTCAGTGTGGCTAGGAAGAGGACACATGAGAAGCCTGGTGGCCATGTGGAAAAGCTCAGGACAGACCTGACTTGGAAGCCTGATGCCACAGCTCACTCGCTATTAAATATAACTTGAAATTTGTTGCTTTGCTTTTCTTTCTCAGTCTGTAAGATAAAAATACTAAGACCCATTTTAGTGTGACTGCTGCCAGCCCAAGCCGGAGCATTTATCAGACACGCAGCACAGTGTCGGGCTGCAGTGTTAGGAATACAGTCCTGACAGGAGGGACTTTCCTCCGGGAGACCCAAAGGATGTGATGGGTAGAAGCCCCCTCAGCCGTGCGGTGTGGTGACGCAGAGAGAGTGAGCTTTGGGGCTGGCCTGCTGGAGCTTGCACCCTGTGGCACCCCTTAGAGCTGTGCCATTAGGGGCAAGGCTCTGTGCCTCCCTTCCCTGTAAAGTGGGGGAATGCTGCGCCCGAATCCCAGGGTGCTGAGCGAGCAGATCTGTGTAGAGGCCCACGTCAGCGCCTGGCATGCAGGACTGTGCAGAAATTCTCCTGTTATGTCATCGTCATTTTGTGTTTTGATCCTTCAGGCCATGTTGTTTGGTTGTTTTGTTTTTTATTGCTTTAAGCTACTTTTCCCTGTGTCCCTGTGTACTGCGTTAGTATTTCTTAACCTTTTCTACCAAAAGCCTGGTGGCTGAGGGTAATGAGCCTTCCTGCAGACTGCAGACTAAACCCAGAGTGACCCATCACAAGATCCAAGGCGCTTACCAGACTTGAGTTTTTGTAGCTGGTTTTCAGTGTTTTTAAATTTTAAATATTTATGCAAGTGGGAATGTTTACTGTAGCTTTAAAATCGTGGTCAGCAACTTACCATCAAGTCAGATTGGTATTGCAGGAAAACAACCCTGCTTTCTGTTAAGATCTCGGTATGTCAGGCCACAGTGTGGAAAACACGGCTTCACCTGTGGTGAGCCCCATGCACCCCACCGTGTGGTCAGTCCAGGTGTGGCTCTTTTTCAGAAAAAGAAAATGTGACAGTCACTTAGAACTGGTAAAAAGTCAACATAAGGGCTCATTACACATTGAAAATACATAATAATGAGGTTTTGTGGAAAATATATTCACCAGTGATTTAAATCATCTGTTGGACTAGAAGCTGCAGGAGCCTGGGGGGAGCACTGCTGGGGGAGCACTGCTGCGGCGACCAGGAAGGGGGAGGCTGGGAGCAAGGAGGCTTTTGCACAAGGATTCACGGCTGAGAAAGTCAGATTTAAGCACTAGTTGTCTTTTAAAAAAGCATCTTTCCAGTTTAGCTGCTCTAGCTGCTTTTCTAGTTTTAGAATGTTCTCATCACTTCTAAAAGCCTTCAGTAGTAAATCAGCGTGAACACACATGTTAACATGGTACTGTTGTTTTATTAGAGTGTCTTATTTTCTCATCCTGCATCAAACCGTACGTCTTGCTTATACTTTTGTAGGATCAGATGTTAGGCGTTTTCTTCTTTGTAGTAGGTCACTTCATCACTATCACTCAGGGAGAGGGTGTTATGACATGGGTTCATAGTTAACATTTCATTACAGCGATCTGCCCCCAGTTTGCTTCTCTTTTGGCATTGAGGCTCTTAACCTTTTCCAGGGTCATGGGGACCACCATTTCCCCAGAGAAATGCACATGTGCTATATCACAAATCTTTGCAGATCATTCGCTGGGTGGTCCAAATTCTAGAAACTAAGTTGCAATTCTTAGTTTTTCTTTCCCTTTTGAAATCATTTTCCTGAGGGCTTGTATCAGATTCTCATCTGAACTGAAGCCTGTTATTCTTCCGGTCTGACTGCCAGCTTGAAGATCTGCAGGCCATGGCTTTCAACCACTGTTTCCTGGTATGTCAGGGGTGATAGGAAGCACGATTCAGTTCCGTACATCTACGGTGACGATCCTGGTCCTTGGGAGACGGGCATAGAGAAGTGTTCATAATCCATTCGGCCCTCTATCTTGTTTCAGGGCTTAAAGTTTTTATTCTGAAAGCACCAGTACTAACTTGCGGTAATTATACATTCCTTCAGGTGGATTTCTGTGTATTGCATTTTTAATTTTAATGTTTTCTCTCTCTCTTTGATGGTTGTTGCCTAAA